TAGTTAGTTTCTGAGCCAATACGTCCTATGTCAGTCAATGGCTTCGCTCGCGTCAAGACTGGGATCTAGGGCCCAGGACGGGCGTGGCAACTTTGGCTGACGTGATCTGATTGGGCAGGAATACAGTCTACTACCCATGGGTGGATCCTCCATCTCCGTGCTGAGAAAAGGCGTTCAGGTAAGACAACGCCCCTTCTCACCCTGAACCTTGCAATTGTATGCACTTCTCCTTGATCATTATTCTTGAATTTAACTAATTTTTATTACCACCCAGCCAAACCTTTAGTGCAGTGGTGGTGAACCTATGGCACGGGTGCCAGAGGCGGCACTCATCGCTCTCTGTGGGCACGTGCGCTGTCGCCCCAGTCCTAGGCCTTCAGCTGGGTTTTATAAAACCTTTTCACTTTAGGCCTCTGCCACCGTGTAAAAAAAAAAAGGTTCAATCAGTCAATTTCAACTTCTCGTGGGGAAAAAAAAGATCTTGCAAAGTTGGAATTGATTGATTGAACTTTTTAGTCCCACCCAGTCTGCTGTTACCACTGCAGCCACGCCCACCCAATGGGCCACACCCACCAATGGGTCACACCCACCTGGCACCCAACGATGCATAAGTGGGTTTTGGGTTGCAGTTTGGGCACTCGGTCTCTAAAAGGTTCGCCATCACTGCTTTAGTGTAAAATCCATTCCAAAGCATTCTCCAGCACGGTCTTATTTATGTAAAGTAATTAGTCCACACATGCTTGCAGTACCCCAAGAAACCATTATAACAATTTTAAACACCATATGACTAACAGACATTGCAGTATGATAAAATTGCAGTTTACTTGATTTAATAGATTTCCAAGCATCAACCCAATCAGACCCACAGAAATTACTGCAATAAAAACTGCCCCGAGGAAGGGCAAATCCAGGAAGCAAATAGCAACAGTAAGAATAATTGCAATTAAAATAGCAAATGACCAACAAGGTTTAAAACAACAGACATCAAAACACCATAAAAATAGCAAACATGTAGAAGTACAAATACATAGGATGAATACTGTAGTAGGAAGGTGTTTAGTTTTCCTACTGTAAGTACTGCATTTCTATTCAACTTTATATCTAGACTATTTTTCCAATCTCTTCACACTGCCGAAACAACTTTTTCTTAACATTTCTATTTCCACTCTGCTAATACTCTCTTGCTAAAAATCTATGAATAACTAAGCACTTGTTTGTCTTCATCAAAGCTTTATATTTTCCAACAATTTATTCTTCACCAATACAGTCTATGTTCAACT